ACACACACACACACACAAACATATAGATGGAGGGAGAGACACAGACACAGACATACACACACACATACACACACACAAATTCACATACAGCAATCCGCTCCGTTAGCCCTCAGTACCGTCCAGTCATCATCGGCTTGGTTTTTGTTCTGTCATCGGTCTGTGATGTTTTAGGGACCGTCTTAGTAGTTAGTGTTGGTGCAATTGCTTTGGTTCACTGAGATTGTAGTGTGACGTTGATTTAACGGGTGGGAAGTTCAAAAGAGACTGAAGGGAATGGGATGAAAAGAGGATAGTCTAGGGTTTTGAATGCTTAAGGTACTGGTACTGCAAAATAAGCAACAACAAGCAGCAGAGCAGAGATGGGATAAATTTAGCAGAATACAGTAAACGAAAAGTAGTGTATTTAGGAGACGAGGTAAGAGGAAAAAAGATTTTGGTTTTCTTTTTTTTTCAGTTTTCTATCTTTTTTTTACAAATTAATCTTGTTTTGACTACGTTTTTTTTCCCTTTATCTTTTCTCCTCTCTTCTGTTCATCTTCTTCCATTCTTCCTTCTTCAATCCGTAACAGTTTTTCAAAGCAAAATTGACTCTTTCCCAGCTTTTTTCCATGCTGAATTTTGACAGACACAGAGGCATACTGACATCACGATATTAAACCATATACAGAACATCTTTAAAGCCGTTATTTTTGGAAGAAAAAAGAAATGAGAAGTTGGAGAAAAATGCTTTGCATTTTTGAAAATGCTTTGTTACTGTAATATATATGATTTTTATTGAATATATTTGACTGGTTGTTAGTCTCTATTGTAATTTTGTTTAAATGTTGAATTTTTTGAGTTGTAAAATGCAAAGAATAGAGAAATTTTTTTTGTTGTGATGTAAACGCTTTTCTTGATACCTTTGAAAACCGTCGTGTCTTTTTTCCTGTAAAATTTTTTTCATATTCTTTGATTTCCTTCATTTTAATTCTGTGGTTTCTAATTTTTTCTTACTTTTTTTTTTGTTTTTTCTTCTCTGCACTTTGACTATTCATTTTTTAATGCATTTCTTTTTACTGGCTTCTTCGTTAAACTGTGCTTGACTTCTCATTTTCAATCCTTTTTTTTTGATTTGTTTCTTCTATTCTTTGTTGCAAACGTAGATTTCCTCAGATTCCACTGGATAATTCTAATTTTTTTTTGCATACCGTACTACTGCTGCTACTGCTACTGCTGTTTCTGTTTCTGTTATCTTTTCTATTTTGTTTCTAAACAACTAAAGAAAGTTAGGAGGGAGGGACAGGCGGAAAGACAGACGGAGAGGCAAAAGGGGAGATTGGATAGAGAGGGACGGTGGGCGATTTTATCCAAAGGCAGAAGAAAAAAATAAAAAAATTTAGATATCTCGTCAACTTTTTTGTTTTTCTGTGGGTTTTTTCTTTTCAATACTTTTACTGCAATTTCTGTGGTTCGCTTAGAAGTTTCATTATGATAACACCTTTTCTAATTGTCATTCTTTTTCACTTGAACTCTTTTTTCTTTTTCCATATTTTTTTTGTTTTTTTTTTTTAATGTGAATAAATGATGATTATATTATATAATTCCATTTTTTTACTTTTTCGGCAGTTTTCTTTCTTCTGCGAAACTAAGAAGAACTACAACTTTTTCTGCTTTGGTCTTTTTTTTTCTGTTTGTTTATTTTTGCTTATCTTTTCCTTTTGTTGTTCAAACTAATTTTTGCTAATTATAGTAGCAGCGGTTTTGTATAACTGTGGTATTTAGTCATACAGTTTTTCAGCAAAATTTTCGCTTATCGTCGGCTACTGATTTTTTTCTTTTTTTTTGGAATGGGGGCAGAAATTGACTAATTAAACAGAGAAAGCAAAAAAAAAAAAAAGAAAAGAATAACAATAGTAATAAAATTTTTTGAGTAGTAGAGCAGTTCTTTCTACCTTTTTTAGCTAATAATTTTGAAGGGCAGTAAAATTAGTTTTTTTTTTAAACAGACAAGGGTACTGGAGGGGCTGAAGAAGTGAGGGGAAAAGCAACAGGAATGAAAGGAACCGGGAAGAAAAAAGGGATCACAAATTTTTTTTTTTGCTTTTTTAAGGAGAAAAATCAGTAAGGTTTAAAAAATTAATTTTTAATGTTGTAAGAAAAAAGTTTTTTTTTGTTGACATATGATAAAAGTTTTTTTTTGTGAAGACAATAATTTGTCGTCGTTGTCATCGTCGGCGACGACGACGTTGTTGTCGCTGTCATCATCGTCATCGTCATCGTTTGTCGTCGATATGTGTTATAATTTTTTTCCTCTCCATCTTTTTGATCTTTTATTTTTGTTTTCTTTTCTTTTTTTGTCTATTTTTTTTGCGAGCTGTGTAATTGTTTAAATCAACTGACTGATGCAATGATAAAGATTTTCTTTAAAATTATTTGTCAGATATGTTCGCTTTACAACAGTATAATTTGCAAAGTATGTTTGGTTTTTCTTATTACAACTAGAGCAGAAACAAGGACAACAACGGCAACAATAACTTTATTGCTGAAAATCAAATATTACTGCTGAAAAAAAGTGGAGAAGAAAAAAATAGCATAAGATGTTCTCTAAAAAAACTGAGCAATACCGAGTATGAATTGTAGGTC